CGCCCCGTATTTTATTAATAAAAGAAATACTAGCTTTTAGTTTTACGCTAGCCTTTATTAATAAATAATCATGTTCATGTTCAAGTTCAGGTTAGTCAGTCAGTTATATTCAAAGTTTGACTATTAGTCGATAAGTTATTCGGTTTACTATTTTTAGTAACCGAATAAGTTTTCCAGATTTAATTCCGATTCGTTTAATTAATTAATGAGTCCGGAATTAATTATTTAGTCAGCGACGTCCCGTCAATTTATAGGTACAAATTATGCTTCAGTTCCGATATAATAATGTTATCGATTATTATTATCGGAATTAATTATTTTCAGTCGAGATTACCAAAAATCTATTTTCAACGTATCGTTTACGTCCGAAATAATTTTGGTAATTAAGTATTATGTTTAATTAATAATTAAACATGAGTTAGTGATTAATTAACAAATTAATCACAATTTAATGTCATAAGCCGTGACTTATGTGTTAATTTTTCCAAATTTTAGCAATTAGGCCGTGAGTTTCCTTTACAAATTGGAAAGCCAATTTCCTCACTTTTTGACTTAAAAACGTGGCTTTATTTGTAAGTGGTTAGTCATCAATAATTTACCAAATTGGTTACAATTGGATGGCTCAAGAGATGGTCACGTCTTGCCTCATCATCATTTTCCCACCTTCGGCCGTATATATATATATAAGGATGAAAGGGACCGAATTTTTCCATCTTTCCCATAGCATATGAGCAGCCTTATATTCGTACTTCAGCCCTTAAAATCAGTACCTAGTAGTTCAGCAAAATTCCCTTAATTTCCTATAGCATCGCACGACCATTGACGCAGCAACGCACGGCAGCTTCCGCACACAAGGACACGCACGCGAGGCATAGTCCGGTTGCGATTCCGACAATTAATTCAAGAGGTATAGTTTTTCTCAGCCTATTTTAATGTTAAGGAGTTCATTCTAAGGTTTAGTGTTCGATTCACGATCGAGAATTTCTAGTAAGGCCGTGTTAAAGTTCGAATATGCTTAAAGTAAATCGTGATTGAACAACTACTTGTTTTACCCGGCAACTCTCGTACAATTCACGTTTATTTGTTCAGTTTATATCATTTCATGCCCAGTTAGTCCATGTTAGTCGAGGTAAAATGATGTTTTAGCGGTTAAATGGCTCAAACCGTCGCTAGCGCTTATCGCGCGTGGCCACGGGCGGCACCGAGCCATGTCCTGTCACTTTCAGTTATGGTCACATTCTTTCGTGTGATTTATATCTCGATAGTCTTATAATAAGGTTCATGTTAAAATGGTCTTGAGTTGCCGAGGAATAGGTTGAGTCGGTCGGGAGATGGCGTATTACCGTCGGCGGTGCACG